TAGTTGGAAACTCTCTGGATTCCAGAGCAAGAATAGACGCCGTCCTGCTTGGCTTATTCTTCAGCTGGTCAGAAATAGAGACTCGGGATCTATTTTGTCCCATCTGAAGCACTTTAGGGCCGAGCCCATGCCTCCCTCACCCCAACTACAGCCTATTTATAGACTTTTGTGGAGTCACACTGGTTATAGTTAGGAGGAACGTCATGGAGCACACAGTGACAGGGGTCAAGATCACGTCTGCAGTTTATCAGCTCGTTCTCACCCAGAGATTCAGCTACAATTCAATTCAACTTTATTTCCAGACTCAAGGTCCATTAGAGAGAAAACAACCTACACAAACAATAGAAATCATTTAAACAGGCAATCATAGATGACTGGTATCGCACCACTTTGCCTAGAGTTTACCAAACAGCATAATAATAGCATTCTGTGAATTATACATTTATAATTGTAATCAAATTTCTCATTAAATCCATTAAGGTTTTTACTCTTGACATACAAAATACAGTAGATTACTTGCACTGCTGTATCTCGGTTTTTTAAATATGATCCTTATACAATAATTTTTGGCAACCTGAAGCTTACATAGGCTCACTTTTTTAAGCAGTATAAAAAGATGTACAGTATGCTTTAAAAAGGTTTATCTTAAAGAAGTAGTTCACTTTAAAAAAAAGTTTTGCTGATAATTTATTCACCCCCATGTCATCCAAGATGTCCATGTCATTCTTTCTTCAGTCGAAAAGAAATTAAAGTTTTTGATGAAAACGTTGGAGGATTTTCTCCATATAATGGACTTCAATGGGAACCAAACGGTTCAAGGTCCAAATGAGAGTTTCAGTGCAAACTATTCAAAGGGCTTTAAACGATTCCAGACGATGAATAAGGGTCTTATCAAGCGAAACGATCACTCATTTAATAAATAAATAACAAAGTTTAAGTTTTATAAGCTCAAATGCTCGCCTTGCTCTGTTCTGTGATGCACGTTTGTGACTCTCCCTTTCGAAATCGTTCATCAAAATGAACGAATCTTTTTTCGAGTCATTATGAGTCAAATCTATCCCCTTTTGTTCTATATATAATGGCAACACTGTTCTTTCCATTATATTCATGTCATATTTAATCCCAGACTCAGAGTAAATATTTAGCAGCTGTTGAAAGCCAGCACTACTTGGAGAAAAAATGTCCAAGATTGAATAAGATATTACCCAGCATGCATTCAGTCTTACAGTCACTTAATTGTTCGGACAATTCATTCATATCCACATTAAAAAGGTCTGGTGAAAGTAGACGTCCAGCGTTGCTCTCGCAGACAGTGGGATTGGTGGATCGGCTGAGGAATGACACGGATGTAAATTTAGTGTTGGAGGTGAAGGTTTGGTCACGCCGGCTCCAGTGCGGATAAACACATTCCAGTGTGTGTCTGCTGTGTCATGACTATGGCAAAACACGAGAGAGACAGGCCTTGATATGAGTCGATCCATCATAGTTTTCAATGCGGTTCAGCTTTATTGCCAAGCTCTATTTGCTTTATTGAGTGAAGTGAAAAGGGGAAAAGTGTTGTTTTTTTAATCAGTGATCAGACAAACTCTACATTTCTTTTAGATGAGGGAAAAGAGACTTATAAAAAAAAACACATGTAAGGACAACAACAGACCAAAGACAAGTGAAACACTGGGGTATATAAAGAGGCTAACAAGACACAGGTGTGTGTAATCAATAACAAGGGTAACTATAGCAACAAAGGCTGTGTCTGAAATCGTCCACTACACACACAGCCGTTCGCAGTGGTGTCTGAAACCATAGTGACAGTGTCGAGTGCACTGATTAGACGGACTTCTTTGGTTTATAATTCACAGACACTAGTCTATATGGAGATTTGATTTAAGTATTCTGACATGCTTTTTATTTATTAATTCCGTTGAATTGCACGTTTTACAGTAAACTTGAGATTCCGTTTGTGTTTTCTGTTCCCTCGTTTTCATTCACTCCTTCAGTATTAGTGGAGTAATGTAGGGAATAGTGAATGAGGGTTTCGGGGGTGATTTCGAACACAGCCCGTGATCCATGGTGCCGTTACGGCCCACCGCTGACCTCCGTCCACCTGCCAATGAACATATATATATATATATATATATATATATACATATATACTCTTAGAAGAAAAGGTTCTATCAGCGCTACATATTTGGAACCCCTAAAAGGTTCTATACACTCTTAAAAAAGGGTTCCTCTGGGTTCTATATAGAACCCTGGGGTTCCATACTTAGCCAATAGAACCTTTTACCAAAAAAATGGTTCTATATAGAACCATTTTGGAGTTCCATATATGAAGCGGGGGATGGAACCATTTCTGGTTCTAAATAGAACCATTTCTCCTAAGAGTGTATATATATATACAAGGATTTTTTCCATGCACAATTTCAAAAGGGAAACATTGTAGGTCTTATTTAGCCTCGAAGAATTCTTCCCTCCTCAGCTGCCCATATAGACCTATTAATTAATACAGTGCGAGTTGGGAACTAGGATTGTTTGACATGGGAAGTCAAAAGTTCAAAACTCATACACTCTGGGTTGAGCCTGTTGAGTCACTTCTGGGGTTATTTTTCCATGCTTGGGTCATTTTTGTGTTACCCAGTGTGAAACAGAGAGGATAAAATCATATCGATCCCATTTTTTGTTGTTCCTTGGCTGATGGTTTTGGCTGTTGTACCATCAGTACATATATATATATATATATATACTATATATATGTGTGTGTGTGTGTGTGTTTGTTGGCAGGTGAAACATTTGGAAATGTAGTCGAATTTGTTCGTAAAAGTGAGTTGTGAAATTTTAAACTTAGAAAGCAAATTAGTTTAAAGGTACAATATGCAAGATTGTTTCGCCACCAGGGGTCGCTAACCTCTCACAATAACAAAGGCGTATATTAATGACGTATATTCTGCATTATGCGGAATTATGGATCTTGTCGTCAAGCTGATGGATCTTTTATGGATGAGTGAATACACTGATGTTTTTAACATGACTGTAGTACGAAGCAGGGCGCGATTGCTAGATGTATACCAGCGCCACACGCAACGCGAGTCCCGCGGATATAAAGGAATAAGGACATTTCATTCTACCGAACTACACGCTGAATTACTCACACAGGTCAGTTTATTAGAGGAATTAAACATGAGGTAACGCAGCGCTGCTTCACTTGCTCTAACAGTTTCACTATCACACTAAACGGCATTTGTGTGTGTTGAACGTTGTTCGTTAGTTTGTCTGTCGGCTGTATGAGACTACGCTAGATTAATATTAGAGAAAACATACAGATCATATTCTAACTTTTCATCATGTTGAACTATATAACATTGATTAGTTTTACATATATTAATTTGCTCACCTGTTTGCTCAAGTAATATGCAACGCGTCGCGGACGTGGAGTTCTCGGCATCTCCAAAGATGTTGATCTTCGTTCTAGTCCTCTTTTTGTCTCAAAATCTGCTCACCATGGTCCATAATGTTTGAACAAAACCCTGTTAGGGACGCTCACGCTGTTGAGTTCGCGTAACGGGCATAACCAACCCAGTTGTCCACATCTGTCGCCATGGTTACTATTGCAGTACGAGTTCAAACCTGGCGGAAACCGGGGGTAACGCGGATATGACGTCATTGACTGGCGACTCCTCACCGCTGCTGACACGCCCCGTTTTTTTCTTACGATTTACAAATAGTTGGAAACACTTGGGATATTGTAAGTAATCAACTAAAAAAAATATATAACATTGGATATTTTACTGCAAAAATCCTACATATTGTACCTTTAACTATATAACTGCTGAGTTATCATTCTTTCCAGCGCTTTTTCCCTCTCACACATTGTTTTTACTCTTGCCAATCAGATCAACGTGTGATCGTCAACCTGTGGATATCGGTGAGTGGAGGCGGGGCTCATTTGCATATTCATAGAACCGTGCATACTAAATGAGGCAAGGGTGTCAAGTTACATTCAAGAAATTAAAAGACATGAAGAATTAATTTAAGGAAAACGTTTAAATATGTCATTTTGGTGATCAAATATGAGTTTTAAGGGGAAAAAAATATTGTCTACAGGGGGACTTTAACAAACAAAGCAAGTAAAGAAGCACATGGCAGCTGTTATACTATAAACAAGACACATATTATATTATTAGAAAAATATTATTTTATTGTTTGTTTAGAAATTTCTCCATTACAAAACCGTACCCTGAAAAATCATCATTAGAACAACTAAAAAATGTGCAAGGCCACTCTCACACACGCGTACTGTGCTTTATAGTTTGCATGCGTGGAGTGTGTGAGCGAGTAGGCCGAGGTCTGGTCCTCTTCCTCAGGACGCGGCGCAGCAGCCGACCTCCTCGTGTTTGCTCAGGAGAGATATCCTGGAGAAGGTTTTGAAGCAGCTTCTGCACTGGTATCTCTTGATCTCGGAGTGTGTCTGTAGATGCGCTCGCAGGTTTGAGCGGTCAGCGAACGCACGGCTGCAGTGAGGGCAGGAGAACGGCTTCTCACCTGCAAACATTACATCACCTCAGGTAGTCTTATCGTTTTTCAAAATTACAATGCATTACAATACTTTTAGAATATTAGACATTATTAGAGAATGTTTTGTGTGTGTGTGTGTGTGTGTGTGTGTTTCAGAATTACAATGCATCATTTTTATACTTCTATTAGAAGTAGTTCACCTGAAATTAAAATGTCACTTACACTGTAATTAAAGCCTTAATGCATACTGCATTATAAAGGTATTATTATATATTTTCATAAATAACTGCAACAGGGGAAATGTTTCTTGTAGAACATAATCCAATAATGTCTAATTTTACAACATTAAATGTGACATAAAACCCTAATGTACATTACTGATTAGAAAAAAAAACTAAGAAACAGTTATTTCAACAAAAATACATCAAATGTGAAGTGTCACGCAGGGAATTGTGGGAATGTCAATTTATGTTTTTTTCACTGTAAATTATACAGTGAGTTGTTCTTTTTCACTTTCAAAAACTGTAAATTTAACGGTATTTTACAGTAAAGTGATTTATCACAGTTATTTACCGTATATAGTACAGACACTTTCTGTTAACCGATTAACAGTTTTTCACAGTAGCATTTTTACAGTCTTTTACCGGTAAAATCACGATCATTTTTTTACAGCAGAAAATATGAAAAGAACACTTAAAAATATAGTTGTACTTATTCAAATAAGTACTGACTAATACTAATTTACTTCATGTACTTACTAGAGTTACGGTTTAGGGTTAGTTACTTGTAATTACGCATACTTTACTGTTATTACTATAGTATACATCACTAATAATGTTCTTCATTGGCATCGACAGCTTCATGAAGAACTGTTAACATCCATGAAACCTTTCCATTGGACAAAAGGTTGTTTATGGGGGATTATAAAAATGTTCTTCATACTAAGAAAAAAAATTCTTTGCAAAAATCCTTATTTTTAAGACTGAAGAGTTGACACATGTTTGAGTGACAGATTCCTTTCAGAACAGTATTTTCCTCCACTGATGTATCATTTTACAGACTTAACATATCATTTTTTAACATGCATATTTTGCATGCATTTTTTTTAACATCACCCCATTCGTTTGTATTATTTGTGATAATAACGCAAGGCAACCTGCCAAACTGTTTGGTCACACAAAGAAATTATGAACACATGCAAAATTAAGAGAGAAACAATGAAATATTAATAACGGATACTACGCGTTTTCCTGTCAGCTTTTTGTTTTTCCATGCATTTATATAAATATTTTTGCATATTAAATTAAAATAAAAATATTGTGATTTTAACCCTCTGTGGTCGACAAAAACGCCGGCGCGTTTTGCTGAATTTTTTTTCACACAGCAGCAAAATAGACTTAAAATACTCACATAGACATATGTGCTTTTAACTCAGTTGTTTAACAGAAAGTTTTAAAAATGTAAACTGAAAAACATTCCCAAAATTTTGCTTCTGTATTTTGTTACCGTAAATTTCTGGCAACCACATCAGCTGCCAGTTCTTTTGTTTTGTTTTGTTTTCACCGTAAATGTAACAAAAAAAAATACAGTATTTTTTTTTTTCATTTTCTGCTTTTCTCAAATAAAAATATTTTATAACCTTTATAACGTTTCACAACCTTTGTAAGAGTGTGTGTACCTGTGTGTGTGCGGATGTGTCCCTGAAGCAGCCAGGGCCTGGAGAATGCCTTCCCGCACAGCTTACACACACACGGCAGAGTGTGTGTGCGGATGTGCATCTTCAGCGCTCCCAGACTCACGTACTCCTTCTCGCAGAACTTGCAGATGAAGAACTTCTGGCATCGCCTCGGGTCCGTCAGACCGGAGAAGCTCAGGAACGCGTTCCGGCAGTCGAAGCATCCGTCGCCGCCGTCCGGAAACGCTCTGTGGGAGAGCGGGAACGGCCGTGGATCCGAGACAGGACTGGGGAAAGGGAAAGACTGACCCAGAACCGGGTTCTGTGGAGGAACGTGCATCCCTGATCCGATCGGGTTCATCCGTAAAGGTGAGCTCAACCCCGAAGGACACCGAGTCCCGTGAGGATTCAGTGCTTTGAGTTTGGAGCTCGAAGATTCAAAATGAATCACATCTGTGGAGATATTAAACGCACATGATCAGATCGTTCTTGTAACAACACATGAATTCATTGGTAAATCTCTATAATTCCCAAATATTACTGGTAACACTATACTAAGGTTCATTAGTTAATATATTAACGAACATGAGCAATTTTATTTATTTTCGAAATTTGTTAATGTTAGTTAATAATAATCCAGCTGTTCATTTTGTGTTCATGTTAGTTGCATTAACTAATGTTATCAAATACATTGATTTGAATGATGTATATGTTGAAATTAATATTAATAAATGCTGAAGAATGTTAGTTCAAGGTAGTTAACTAATGAACCGTATAGTATTTTTTCTCAATTGTTTAACCCTGGAGCCTGAAATAATAATATGTCCCTTTAAACATGCTTGATCAATTTGGCCAATAATGGCAGACAGGAAACTAGGTGCTGGCTGAAGTTCAGGAAGTAGTGCAGCTGGGCATAAAGCCAATTATTACTCAATAAAGCCGTCAAATATGGACAAACCCAACTGTTGGGTTAAAAAAATTGTTTCTATTTGAACTAATGGTTGGGTTTGTCCATATTTTACTTTTTTAGTGTGGTTTACATTTTTAGTGTGGTTCGCACCAGTGTTCGAATTACAGGGGAGCTAAGGGGAGCTCGGCTCCCCTGAAAAGGACCTGGGCTCGCCTCACTTTGAGACATTTAGGGGGAGCTCTAACACTGTCCCTTTTTTGTGTCGCATATATTTTGATTTTTTGTACATTAAGGTTCCTGAAATAAATGATGATATTAAAAATGTGTCAGTGTTTATTCGCTCAATTCTATTTCCGAACATCTGTCTCCACTAATAAATGCAATGGGCGTGGTTCAGCGAAGTCTGTGGCGGGAGAGTGAGGAGGGGACGGAGCCGAGCGGTGAACAAGTGAGTCAAGTTCAAATGACAAACGCCTGTCTGTGATTTCAGTAAAATTTCAATCTTGGCGTGAGGAGAACGCATATGAACGGGCCGTGCTGACATTAGTGTGTGAGAGAGAGACTCAGAATCCAGAGTTTCAAGAAAATCAGAGAAACTAAAAATTTCGACCCAAAAAAAAAAAACGACAGTGGTACCGCTGTCGTTTTTTTTTTCAGTGTGAAAAAATATGTTTTTCGAATCTTCTTGAAACTCTGGATTCTGATAGAGGGCCATGAGACTTAAACCTGAGTGCAAAAATGGAGGCTCTAGACCCTTCCAGAGCTGAGATATCGAAACTCAAAAATTCGACCCGAAAAAAAAACGACAGTGGTACCCCTTTCGTTTTTTTTTTCGGACGAAATTAAGTTTCTCCAACCTTCCCAAAACTCTGGATTATGATAGAGGGCTGTGAGACTTTGACCTGAGTGCAAAAATGGAGGCTCTAGACCTTTCTAGAGCTGAGATATCAAAATTCAAAATTTCGACCCGAAAAAAAAAAAACGACAGTGTTACCCCTTTCGTTTTTTTTCGTTTTCGGGCGAAAAATTAAAATTCTCCAATCTTCTCAAAACTCTGGATTATGATAGAGGGCCACGAGACTTTGACCTGAGTGCAAAAATGGAGACTCTAGACCCTTCCAGAGCTGAGATATCGAAATTCAAAATTTCGACCCGAAAAAAAAACGACAGTGTTACCCCTTTCGTTTTTTTTCGTTTTCGGGTGAAAAATTAAGTTTCTCCAATCTTCTCAAAACTCTGGATTATGATAGAGGGCTGTGAGACTTTGACCTGAGTGCAAAAATGGAGGCTCTAGACCCTTCCAGAGCTGAGATATCAAAATTCTAAATTTCGACCCGAAAAAAAAACGACAGTGTTACCCCTTTCGTTTTTTTTCATTTTCGCGCGAAAAATTAAGTTTCTCCAATCTTATCAAAACTCTGGATTATGATAGAGGGCTGTGAGACTTTGACCTGAGTGCAAAAATGGAGGCTCTAGACCCTTCCAGAGCTGAGATATCAAAATTCAAAATTTCGACCCGAAAAAAAAAAACGACAGTGTTACCCTTTCGTTTTTTTTCATTTTCGCGCGAAAAATTAAGTTTCTCCAATCTTATCAAAACTCTGGATTATGATAGAGGGCTGTGAGACTTTGACCTGAGTGCAAAATGGAGGCTCTAGACCCTTCCAGAGCTGAGATATCAAAATTCTAAATTTCGACCCGAAAAAAAAACGACAGTGTTACCCCTTTCGTTTTTTTTCATTTTCGGGCGAAAAATTAAGTTTCTCCAATCTTCTCAAAACTCTGAATTCTGATAGAGGGCCACGAGACTTTCACCTGAGTGCAAAAATGGAGGCTCTAGACCCTTCTAGAGCTGAGATATCTAAATTCAAAATTTCGACCCGAAAAAAAAAACGACAGTGTTACCCCTTTCGTTTTTTTTCGTTTTCGGGCGAAAAATTAAGTTTCTCCAATCTTCTCAAAACTCTGGATTCTGATAGAGGGCCTTGAGACTTTCACCTGAGTGCAAAAATGGAGGCTCTAGACCCTTCCAGAGCTGAGATATCAAAATTCAAAATTTCGACCCGGAAAAAAAAACGACAGTGTTACCCCTTTCGTTTTTTTTTGTTTTGGGCGAAAAATTAAGTTTCTCCAATCTTCTCAAAACTCTGGATTATGATAGAGGGCCTTGGGACTTTCACCTGAGTGCAAAAATGGAGGCTCTAGACCCTTCCAGAGCTGAGATATCAAAATTCAAAATTTCGACCCGAAAAAAAAACGACAGTGTTACCCCTTTCGTTTTTTTTCGTTTTCGGGCGAAAAATTAAGTTTCTCCAATCTTCTCAAAACTCTGAATTCTGATAGAGGGCCTTGAGACTTTCACCTGAGTGCAAAAATGGAGGCTCTAGACCCTTCCAGAGCTGAGATATCAAAATTCAAAATTTCGACCCGAAAAAAAAAACGACAGTGTTACCCCTTTCGTTTTTTTTCGTTTTCGGGCGAAAAATTAAGTTTCTCCAATCTTCTCAAAACTCTGGATTATGATAGAGGGCTGTGAGACTTTGACCTGAGTGCAAAAATGGAGGATCTAGACCCTTCGAGAGCTGAGATATCAAAATTCAAAATTTCGACCCGGAAAAAAAACGACAGTGTTACCCCTTTTGTTTTTTTCGTTTTCGGGCGAAAAATTAAGTTTCTCCAATCTTCTCAAAACTCTGGATTCTGATAGAGGGCCTTGAGACTTTCACCTGAGTGCAAAAATGGAGGCTCTAGACCCTTCCAGAGCTGAGATATCAAAATTCAAAATTTCGACCCGAAAAAAAAAAACGACAGTGTTACCCCTTTCGTTTTTTTTCGTTTTCGGGCGAAAAATTAAGTTTCTCCAATCTTCTCAAAACTCTGGATTATGATAGAGGGCTGTGAGACTTTGACCTGAGTGCAAAAATGGAGGCTCTAGACCCTTCCAGAGCTGAGATATCAAAATTCAAAATTTCGACCCGAAAAAAAAAACGACAGTGTTACCCCTTTCGTTTTTTTTCATTTTCGGGCGAAAAATTAAGTTTCTCCAATCTTCTCAAAACTCTGGATTATGATAGAGGGCTGTGAGACTTTGACCTGAGTGCAAAAATGGAGGCTCTAGACCCTTCCAGAGCTGAGATATCAAAATTCAAAATTTCGACCCGAAAAAAAAAACGACAGTGTTACCCCTTTCGTTTTTTTTTCATTTTCGCGCGAAAAATTAAGTTTCTCCAATCTTCTCAAAACTCTGGATTATGATAGAGGGCTGTGAGACTTTGACCTGAGTGCAAAAATGGAGGCTCTAGACCCTTCCAGAGCTGAGATATCAAAATTCTAAATTTCGACCCGAAAAAAAAAACGACAGTGTTACCCCTTTCGTTTTTTTCATTTTTGGGCGAAAAATTAAGTTTCTCCAATCTTCTCAAAACTCTGGATTCTGATAGAGGGCCACGAGACTTTGACCTGAGTGCAAAAATGGAGGCTCTAGACCCTTCCAGAGCTGAGATATCGAAATTCAAAATTTCGACCCGAAAAAAAAAAACGACAGTGTTACCCCTTTCGTTTTTTTTTTCGTTTTCGGGCGAAAAATTAAGTTTCTCCAATCTTCTCAAAACTCTGGATTCTGATAGAGGGCTTGAGACTTTGACCTGAGTGCAAAAATGGAGGCTCTAGACCCTTCCAGAGCTGAGATATCAAAATTCAAAATTTCGACCCGAAAAAAAAACGACAGTGTTACCCCTTTCGTTTTTTTTTGTTTTTGGGCGAAAAATTAAGTTTCTCCAATCTTCTCAAAACTCTGGATTATGATAGAGGGCCTTGAGACTTTGACCTGAGTGCAAAAATGGAGGCTCTAGACCCTTCCAGAGCTGAGATATCAAAATTCAAAATTTCGACCCGAAAAAAAAACGACAGTGTTACCCCTTTCGTTTTTTTTCGTTTTCGGGCGAAAAATTAAGTTTCTCCAATCTTCTCAAAACTCTGGATTCTGATAGAGGGCCTTGAGACTTTGACCTGAGTGCAAAAATGGAGGCTCTAGACCCTTCCAGAGCTGAGATATCAAAATTCAAAATTTCGACCCGAAAAAAAAAACGACAGTGTTACCCCTTTCGTTTTTTTTCGTTTCGGGCGAAAAATTAAGTTTCTCCAATCTTCTCAAAACTCTGGATTATGATAGAGGGCTGTGAGACTTTGACCTGAGTGCAAAAATGGAGGCTCTAGACCCTTCCAGAGCTGAGATATCAAAATTCAAAATTTCGACCCGAAAAAAAAAACGACAGTGTTACCCCTTTCGTTTTTTTTCATTTTCGGGCGAAAAATTAAGTTTCTCCAATCTTCTCAAAACTCTGGATTCTGATAGAGGCCTGAGACTTTGACCTGAGTGCAAAAATGGAGGCTCTAGACCCTTCCAGAGCTGAGATATCAAATTCAAAATTTCGACCCGAAAAAAAAAACGACAGTGTTACCCCTTTCGTTTTTTTTTGTTTTTGGGCGAAAAATTAAGTTTCTCCAATCTTCTCAAAACTCTGGATTATGATAGAGGGCTGTGAGACTTTGACCTGAGTGCAAAAATGGAGGCTCTAGACCCTTCCAGAGCTGAGATATCAAAATTCAAAATTTCGACCCGAAAAAAAAACGACAGTGTTACCCCTTTCGTTTTTTTTCGTTTTCGGGCGAAAAATTAAGTTTCTCCAATCTTCTCAAAA